TTGTGACTTGAGCCCTGGAAAAGGTATTCAAGAAATATTGTGTCTGGAAAAAAAAATTAATTAAAACCATTTCCTTGAAGACTGTCAAGGGTTTTGGGTGAGGGGACAATGCATAGGTATGCTGTGCATCTCTTTTCTTGTTGAAATTTATGGTTTGTTTGCTTCTCCCTTTGCTGCCCCATCACAGATAAGGGCAGGGAGATATAACCTCTTCCTCAGATAGCACAATCCTGTTTGCAGCCCACCCTCAGGGCTCTGCACTTTGCTTTTCAAACTAAAGCTCTGGTGCTATACCATAAACCAAACTGACCATGGTGACTGTCCGAGTCAGTCAGCACCTTCTTCAGGAGAAGACCTTTCTATTGCTCAAGGCAGGGAGGCAGTCCTCAGGCTGGTACAGGCCTTAAGCCTGTTTACAAAATCCCATTTATAGCATAAAAGGGCTGCAAAAAACAAGTATCATTTATCACCAGGTCGCTGTGGCTTCCTGGCTCCAGGATAGCGGTGGAAAACCATGTGTCTTCTGAGAAGGGCGTTTTCTAGGGACACACGGAGCTGTTTGGATGTTGTTAAGTAGCAGCAGACAAGCATATACATCTGCACAGGAAACTTTGGCTCCCAAAGGGCATTCCACAGTTCATCAAGTCTGACTCTTCTAAGAGGTGCTGAGCCATTGCTAAACTGTAGAGAGGAAGGAAAGTTTCTGCTGTAAGAATTTTTCTGCTTGTCTCAGATTTTTCTGTTGTGTTTTTCTTAAGTGTTTTAGTAATTACTTCCATAGAGATACCAGTGTGGAGACAGCTGGGTTAGGAGTCTGACCCAGTTATCAGTCAATGCAGTGTCCAGGGAGGCAGGATGCTGGAGAAAATTCACATCTAAACTGCAAAGCTGCTTTTAACTGTCTGCCAAGTTTGTTTTGTTCTAGTTTTCCTCTGAAAGCATGAGACCATCCTCCCTTGGTAGCAAATAGTCTGAGGTCTTGGTTATATCACACCTGTGACCTCTTTTCTCAAGCAGTCAGAATCTGAATTGCTTTGGCTACATACTCTGAAGTCCTCTGACTTTCACACCTCTTTCATCCTTGTTTTTTGCCCAGAAAAGCTCAGGATGAGCTGGAAGCAGCTGAATGCCTGTAGTTGCTCTGGTTACAGCCGCTTCTCCCCATCAGCTGCAGTGTCCGTGTTCAGCACAGGCAGAGGTGGTGGGAGGGCAGCCCTGGCTGCATGAGCCGACTGTAAAGCTGTGCAGAGATTGTCTCACAGACCTGGCACCCTGCCTCTTCCACTTCTTTATCCCCACTGCCAAGCTCCAGAGAGCAAACTTAAAGCACGGCGAGTTTCGGGTCATTGTAGCTGAAGCCTTGGTGCTGCTGTGAGGCCTTTTCCCTAGGGAAGGGGACAGCAGTTTGTGCCAGCTTGCTGAGCATCTGGCACGAGAGGGGCTTTGGTCAGAATTCATTTGTCTGCAAGGAGTGAAGGCAAGTGTGAATTCAGAACATGTGCCTGCACACGGAGCTGAGCCAGTCTGAGGTGTTTGGGGCAGGTGTCAGTGGTAAGATGAATCCTCTGTGTTTCTCTAAATTTAGGGGGCCCAGCAGCTGAAGTGGGGGTAAATTCAAGCAGCAAGTTAGACATGTTTCAGTGAGACAGCTTGTTTTAAGCCCAGCAGGTTGGTAACTGTGGCATCACATGTACAAATCAGGTTGCTCAGCATGGAGTTTGCTGGCTTAAATATACCTTGACAGGTACCAGAATGACAATGAATAGTAAGGGTCTCTTAGCATTGTGTTATGTGTCACCTTGCAGCCCATGAGGGCTCCATAAAGGATTTTCTCAATGGTTCAGTGAGAATTGGGTTCAGTTGTCTAGTGATGATCAAGATGCTCACTCCAGGTCCTTTCTCCAGCCTGTGTTTGTTCCTGCACAATGCTCCAGTTACAGCAGCCTTCCTAGTCCAAGCCACCTCTGCAGGCTGGAAGCCACAATCCCACTGAAGCCCAGGCCAGCACTGTCCCAGCTGGGAGTGAAACGGAGCAATTGCAGTTTGCTGAAATTCTTTCATCTGAGGTTCTGCTGCTTAAAATATTTTTTCCTATTTTTCTGTGAGATGAACCACTCCTAAATCTCATTGAGGAAAACAAGCACCTTCCATTATCAGAACCCAGCATCACTTACGTGCTGTGTTTTCCCCTTCTCAGCTCTAGCTGTTGGCATGTTAAGGTCAAAATGGACAGGGCAGAGTGTTCCCAGGGCTCTCTCAGTGATGATGCTCTGGGTTTTTGTGTCTTCTCTGGCTGAAGTACACAGGGTTTGGTGCAAAGCTGCAGCAACAGTCCAGCGATCTCATTCCAGTGGGGTGAGCAAGCAGACCTTAGAGCACATACTGAGGTTGTGAGTCTACATTTGTCATTTTTTCCTTGCTGATTTTCATTCAGCAATTGTTATGTACTTGCACTTGCTTATGGCCCCCAAGTTGCTTGCCATCCAAATAAGCAAAATTACTACTCTGTGGGAGAAGTGCTATTATTTTTATTGTTATTAGTTAAAAACAATGGAAAATCAGGCACAAAGGAAACAAAATTATTTTTTTTCAGTGGCTGCACAGTGAGATTGTGACAGGGCCAGGAACTGAGTCCAGGTGTCCTGAGTCCCAGCCCAGACCTTTAAGCACCAAAATATCCTGCTCCTTGTGAAGTCAGAGTGTTTTGGCAAAAGTTTTCCCAGAGTGTTTCATAACTAATGTCAGAGCTAGACACTGAACGTGTCTTACCAGTTAGGAATTTTGCTTTTTTATACTTTCACTGACTTAAAACCTCCCCCCAAACTTAGCAGCTGTTGGCTTCTTCGTGTTACTTGTCTTTTTCTAAGGCAAATATGGAACATGATAAATTGAAAAGCATTGAGTTGAAATGTTCTGCTTCAAGTCCACTTAGCAAACTCCAAAGGTCATCTCTGCTGTGTAGAGCCAGCAGGACTAGACACAGAGTGAGCCTTGTTTGAAAGGGATTTTCTGTTGTCTAGAAATCAGGCTTGTCCTATTTCACAGGGGTGGATGTTATCCAGAAGAACTAAACCCATCCTGAGATCTCTGACAGTTTTTGACAGTCTTCTGAAAATAATCTAGAGCTAAGGGGAAAATGAACATCCCACAGCAAACTATTACAGGTTGTGCCTTGAGGGACCACTTCCCCTTTTGAGAGGTCTTTAGTCCCTTTTAAATTTGCACAGCCAGGGTGCTGTTTGTGAATAGAAATCTATAGTATGGAAGAATGCAATTCCCCCAGGCAGCTCAAATAGTGACTTCTTAGCAGTCCTCTGGGTCAGGTCAGCAGCTCACAACTCCAACAAACCTTTTGGTCCATCTTGACTGTCTCTAATATCCAGCTGCAGTGGCATTCCCACAGACACTCAGCAGGACCTGAAAATTCCCTTTGTGAGATGCTCTGGTCAGTCCTTTATCCCACATCCGATGGTGTCCAGCTGCAGTGAACTTTTCCAGAGTAGGATTATGTTGAAATGATCTATTTCAAAATGGAATTTATGTTTCTGAAGAGGAATGTCTCTTTAAAAAAAAAAAAAACACACGAAACTTCTACTCTGAAGGGGTTTTGGTTTTGTATGTTGTGTCCTGGTTAAAAATCTCTTATAGTAATTTTTCATGCCTGCTGGAAAGCCGAGGGATTATTATGGAGAGTGGTGTCCTTTGGAAAACTCCAAATGAAAGACTGGAAAATATGTTGTTTTTGCAGTAAAATCTGGCTTCCCTGCACATGTTGTCAGTACAGAGATAATCCTTAAAAACTTCTGAAGTTTACACAAGGCAAATGTTTTGCGTTTCTGTGGGCACTGCAGCACAGCTGTGCTTTGGTGTGCAGACGTGGGGCAGGCTGGGGTGCCGTGGCTCTCCCCTTCCTGTGGGATATTCCTGTGTGCTCCCTGGGCTAGCTCTGCCCTGGAGCCCGTCTGCCCTGCTGCTTCCCTGCAGGTCTCTGTTCTCATGCTGCTGCAGGGTTTGTCTGCTCTGTGCCTGTGCAGGCGAGCTGCTGGACATGTCACATGGATGTGCCTGAGCTTGCTGGCTCTGGTGCCTCAGGAGCAGCCTTGCAGCAGTGGCACAGGGCTTGCTGTGGGTTTTGCTGTCAAGGAGAACACTTGGACACAGCCTAGCCTGGGCTAGCATTAGCCTGGCCCTGGCTGACAGGTTTGGGTTGGACTGCTGATGTATCCCAGGGACCTGACTGCAGCCTGCTGGTACTCAGTGGTGTTGGCTTCCTTTCAGAAGCAAGTGTTTTAGTGACTTCTCTCTTGCTAGCTCGGGCAGAGGTTTCACCTGAACATCTGTTCTGCTCCTGATGCTCCCAGCAGCTCCCATGGATGTGTTTGGCACTAACAGTTCTGTTTGTTTATGAGGCTTTCTCCAGGGTGAAACTGCTGTCTGGTCTCAGTTCTGAATCTCTAAACCTAAAATAATTTGATATATCAAAATAAACTTCTCTTTATACCTCTGCCACCATTAGCAGAGTCTGGCCTTTTGCAGCTATACACAGCTGGGCTTAATAAATGGTCCTCAGTCCCTGATTCCAAGCAGAAGCCCTCAGCCTGGACATAGCTCAGACTCCAAGGCTTTTAGAGAGAGTCTTTGTAGCTGCTTTCCCCTCTTCTCTCCATATCATAGCTCATGAGAGCATCTTTCCACCTGGGACTGTGCAGGGGGTTGGGGTAGCTGAGTTGAGAAGGAAACAGGCTGAATCCCATCACCAACAGACCCTGTTGCAGTGACTTGTCTGGCTCTCAGGAGCTCCAGGTCTTTTCATTTCACTTATACTGGGTCTTTCCTCTCAATTCAGCATTTTTCTTTAGCCTCTGCATTCAGGTTCTCCTTGGTTATTCCATCATTTCCCAATCCAGTGGTGTCAAAAGGATGGCAGAGAATGCAGCATAAACTGCTGTGTTCACCTTCTACATCAGCAATCTCACTTGGTCTTTCTCACCTTGTTACAGCTGAACAAGCTGGAGGAGGCAGCAAATGCAGCTCACACCTTCTTCATGGCAAACCCTGAGCACATGGAGATACAGCAGGACCTTGAGAAGTACAAGACCACATCAGGGAAGGTCAGCTTGATTGACCAGGAGGCCAGGCAGCACATGGTGAGTCTCAGGCTGAAGAGGTGCCCAGCTGAAGTGTCAGGAAGTCTGGAGAGGAGAGATCAGGAGGCCAAAAGAGATTAATCTATGAATCACAGAATCACAGAATAATGAGGTTGGAAGAGACCTCTAAGATCATCAAGTCCAACCTATGCCCTAACACTACAACTAGACCATAGCACCAAGTGCCAGGAATGGGGATATTCTTACTAATACAGCAAAATAAACTCTCCCTTTCAGCATTTTCCCTTTTAAGGCAAGCCTGCTCCTGCCTTCTCTAGGCACTCTGCTCTTTCTTTGATTGCTACATCCCCAGCCTGGTCCCTCTATTCAGACAACTCTGGGGTCATCCATGGCTGTGAACACACACCAGCAGACAGCTTTGATAGAAGTTGATAGAAGCCTCCAGGGCATCTCAGATCCTCTGTGTCTCCTCCATGACAGATCTTGGCTCCTGTGTATTTCTTTTGACCTGAGCTCTGCCACCTGGGCAGGGTACATACATAAGGGTGGCTATGGTGTTGAGGGTGCAGAGTGACAGGCAGGAGAGTGTCAGCTGTTTCCACCTTCACAAAGCAAAAGCTCGAGTCAAATGCCAGGGCCACCCCCAACTTCTCAATTTCAAGGGAGCAGGGGTCGCTGTTTGGTGTAATTAATGGAGGTGCTTATTAGGGGCCATTCTAAGAAACAATTAATAAGAAATTAAAACATTCTAGGTCAGGACCAATCTGGTCCCTTGGCATTCAGTGTTGTTGTTTGGTGGGAGGGTAAAAACAACAACACACAAAAAAAACCCAAAAATCCCCACAAAAAAAAAAAAAAAGAATTTTTTTTAAATATAATGCATAATCTAGGAGTGGTGCTGAGGATTCTGTAAGTATGGAGAAATCCAGAAGAGCATTTAGGCAAGTTATTAGGTTCCATTGATCTGAAAGTCCATTGATGGCTTAAACTTGGTTTGGTACAAGTGGTTATATCTGATAGGTATCTGAGGAGATTGTCCTGTCCCTGTCCCAGTCCCCTTGTACCTCCTTTTGAGAAGCATCTGCAGGTGGCAAGGGCAGGGTGCTGTGCTCCAGGCAGCGTGGCCTGCTCATGGTTTGTGTTCTGCCTGCCTGCTTTGCAGGAGGACTACAGTGCTGGGGTGAGGCACTATGACAGGGAGGAGTACGAGCTGGCCATTGAATTCTTGGAGCGTGCCCTGGAAGGATACTACTCCGAGGATGAGGATTGCCAGGTCATGTGCGAGGGACCGCAGAGATTTGAGGAGCACGAGTACCTGGATTACAAGGCTGGTCTCTATGAAGCTATTGCAGGTGAGATCTTTTTGCATTTTTAGAGTTGCACCCTTGGCCCTGAAATGTTTTTAGTTACTGAGTTTGGGCCTTTGGCTGGATTTGTTGAGGTGTCTTCCCTTCCATCTCTGCTGCTGGTGAGTAACGCTACAGGAGGCACCTGGAAGCCCAGAAAGTGCAAACTCAGAGGACAATGAACTAGAATATCTCATCTTGGTCCTGAACAGAAGCTGGAGTAGAAGAATTGCATTTCCAGATGCGTGGAGCATTTGCAGCTTTCTGTTGGAGCTGGAAGTTTAGGTGCTTTACATAAACTGCTTCTGTTTCCCCTGTACACAGTCTCACACACCTCCCTGGAATCTAGACATTGCTGGCCTTTGTTTATGTTTTCTGTTTCTGAGAGCATGTGAAGAGAGCAGCAGAGTTCTCTTGGCCATGCTCCAGGTAGCCAGGAAAGCTGCCAAAAAGGCTCGTAACATGGATTTTCTCCCCATCCAAAAGGATGGATTTGTCATTAGTGGAGGCCCACCTAATTATGATCTTGACTGAAATCTCTGGAGAGAATTGAATGTTGCTGTGTAATCTTCAGATTTGCATGTGTGGCTCTGAGCCAGAGAGGATTAAAACAGTTCATTTGTAGTGGAAATGAGATTACATGTAATTAGTCGTAAGGGAAGGAAGAGCAATAAATAAGGGTTTGTTTGGTGACAAAAATCTTATTTATCTGCTTATGGTCTTGGAGTTGCATCAAGCCCTGAAATCTTGCTTCTTATGTGGAAAATGCTTCACTCAGATGCAGAATGTTTTTTGGGTTAGTATAATTCTGTTTGTGTCGAGACAGGAAATCTAATTGAAACAACCAAGAGGAGAAACCACCAGCATACCGGATGGGAAGCTGCCCTGATGGGGTTTGTTTACCCATGTGAAAAAACAGAAGTGTTGGAAAGGCTGACTTGGTACCAGTGTGGCTGTCAGCTGATCAGGCCTGCTTCCAGAGCCTTGACCAGGACACCAGGACACCCATCAAGAGAGCAGCCTTCAGTGGCAAAGCAAACCCAGCATCCTTCTCACTGAAAGCTGCTGCTCTTCGAACAGGACAAGCTGTTCCTGTGCTGGGCAAGTCGAGTGCAGCCCCAGTGAGCTGAGGTGTTTCTGTGCTGGCCCTTACTGAGCACAGACAGGGTCATGGTGTGGTGGTGCTCAGAGCAGGACGTCACCTGGAGGGACAACAGCCAGATGGTCCCTGCAAGCGCTGTGGCTCAGCCATGTGTGCCTGGCCATAAAAACCCCAAACCCCAGCACCAGTCAGGCACCCAGGGGAACATGGAGTTGAGGGAGGGAAATAAGATCCTTGATTAAGGTGCTTTTCTGTAGGAAAATAGGTGGCTCCTTCCAGGACAGCATAATCCAAAGTTCACCCCTGGTCCAGGCAGTCAGGCCCAGATGTTTCAGTAGGGAGTGGGAACACATAACATACCAAGAAAAGAGAGTTTAGGTTGCTTCAAAACTCTTTTCTCTTTTTAATCCCAAACTGATTTGCTATGCTGCTGCTTGGGGTTGAAACACTCTCACCTTTACCCCCAAGGACAGATACATTTCAATGAATTGATTGCAGTACCAAGAAAAAGCACTGCTTTTCAGTGATGGATTGATTATTCCAGATCTAGGATGCTTAAACAGGTTTAAATTACAACAATATGATTTATGTCCTTTCCCTTCTTGCTTTTCCTAATGCTATACCCTGGATGTGCATGATAAATCAGATAACTACTCAAGCTACCCGTCAAGAGCACATAGGCACTGTTCTGAGTTTCCACTTGATTTCATTGAAAATTCTTCAGGTGGTTTTTATGGCAGCTCTAAGAAATATTTTGGTAGCTGAGCACATGATTATGTTTCTTAAGGTTTTTAATGGTGTGCAGAGACAGAACAAGTAAATTAGATTTGTAAGTACATTGCAGCAAAGGCTCCAAAATGGAATCAGATGTCAGTGTTGGCTTTGAAGTTGTACAGCTGGTACAATGCCTATACTGTGGAGTCCCACTAATTAAGAAACTTTGTTAATGGCAGATGTTTATCATGTGCTTGTGATTCTCTGGGGGATGCCTCATCTTTGAGAAGTGAACATGGGGATTTCTGCTGCCCAGGTTTGCGCCTCGGACCTTTCAGACTGGCCTTGCTTGGCTGTGCTGAGAATCTGCACCAGCCCCTCTTAGCTAAACCTCCAGAGCTTTCTTGCTGTAGGAAAGGAGAGGATTAAAGATGAGATGAAGGAAGGCACTCTGGAGCTGGATTTCATGTGGCAGCACATGTGGCCACCTTGCCTTCACCTCTCTGCTTGCTTTCTGGGTTTGTCTCTTGGGGTTGGAGTGCTACCTGCAGTCCCTGCACGCTGCAGCAGCTCCTGCCACACCAAAGAGATGCTCAGGCTCCCTCTACAGTTGAGAGAAGGAGGAAGGCCTTTCTTAAAGGGGGCAAAAACATGACTACAACTCTGTCAGATTGGGTTTGGGGAGGAACCTGAGCTCTTTCCCTAGGTGCACACTCACCTGCTGTGCCAAAGCACTGTGAGTTGCCCATCCTTCAGCTCAGGAGTTTGAACCTCAGTCTGTCCTTGTCTGGGCACTGTCACCTTCCCTCTCAGCTCAGACCCCTTGTGCCTGTTTTCCTGGCAGATCACTACCTGCAGGTGCTGGCCTGCAAGCACGACTGTGTCCGGGAGCTGGCCACGCGCTCGGGCCGCATCTCGCCCATCGAGAACTTCCTTCCCCTCCACTACGACTACCTGCAGTTCGCCTACTACAGAGGTAAAGCTCTTGGACCATTCCTCACAGCTCCTGCTATGAGTTCTGTTCATTTTGTGCAAGTTCAAATTGTTCCATGTGGGAGTAAGGCTGCTTCCCCTGATCTCCACACTGTAGTGATGCAGAGGCATGGTCTGAAAGAGAAGCAAAGGACATTGGAAATTGTTTCTTCAAAAGTCAGGTTGACTGAAATATGATTTAGTAGTTTTATGAAGGTGTTTTAGATCATCAGTCAGGTTTTAAAAGCCCAACCTTTAGCTTAAACATTACTATTCTTTAAATAAATCATGCTTTTTTAGTGTTCTTTCATTTGTCTTTTGATATTAAAATCCTTGAGATTTATATGTTCCACATTTTCTGAAATGAACGGATAAATTTTCTAAATTAATATATAACAGATATATGAGTTAGGTCAAGCTTATCCCAAGATACCAATTTTTGCCAATTACCAAATATTTTAAGATTCACAGTAAAGTCACAGGAGTTGGTAGCATGGCAAAATGTCAGGGGTTGGCAGTACTAAAAAATTATGCCCAGCTGTGTGATTCTGTGTGCTATTTTATTATGTTCTGTTGCATAAAAGAAAATAAAAATCTGCAGAAATCTGCTCTCTCAGGCTTTTGCTAATAACTCTTTACTGAAAAGGGCAGACTGTGCAAGGGTCAAAATTGCTATTAAAATATTAAGATTCTTCATTCATCAATGGGAAGAAAGTAGGAGGAGTCCATATATGTTGTACAGGCTTCTTTAATCCTCTGGCCAGTTAGAGGTTAGGGTGAAAACCCCTGGGCCCTGAGAGATGCTGCATAGATGAGAAGCAGTTTGATGCTGGACAGTATCCATGTCCTGCCCATCCAGCTGGATCCAATTTGGATACCATCTGGTCTGTGCATGATGGCAGAAAAATCTTGTTTCTGTGCCTCAGTTTCCTTGCTGGTGAAGTGGAGTGGTTAAGACAAAGTGGCATCAAAAGAGCCCTGTGAAGTCCTGGGCTGCCTCTTCAGCTGATGGGGAGCTCAGGCTGTGCTTCCCTCCCTGCAGAGTCCCCTCCTGGGCTCTGTGTGAGCCCCCTGTGCCCTCCTGTGCCCCCCTGACCACTGTCGTGTTGCCCCCCAGTTGGTGACTATGTAAAAGCCCTGGAATGTGCCAAGTCCTACCTGCTCTTCCACCCGGACGATGAAGATGTCCTGGAGAATGCAGATTATTACAAGGGTCTTTTGGAAAGTACAGTGGATCCAGCCACCATCAAGCCCAGAAAGGTGAGAGTGAGTGACACCTCAGAGCTCTTGGTGGGAGGCTTTAACAAAGACATCTGGTGGCAATAAAAGCAGCTTGACAGCTTTCCCCGAGTGGGACCACTTGAAAAACAGAAGCAGCAGTGCTGGGCTTGCTGGTGATACTGAGGGGGTGATTTTCAGGGTGCAAGTTCAGAGTCACTGGTGTGGGGGAGAAGCTGGTGGGCAGGATTTGCTTTAAATGGGGAGTTCAGCCTACTCCTATCAGGAGTAAAGCCTGAGCAAAGGCAGGGAGGGCAGTGACCAACAGTGCAAACCCTCCTCTTGCCCAGTGCTGTGGCGGACATGCGGAGGAGGAATGCAATGAAACACCGAGCAAAGGGCAGTGTCTCTTTAGACAGGGCTGAGAAATACTTTCCATGGGGAGGCTGGGATCTCAGCATTACTCTCAAGTCTCTGAGCTTGGAGTTTAGCCTGTTTTGCAGGCAGTAGCTCTGCTATCACAAGGTTAGGCTGGGGTCAAAATCCCAAACAATGTGTGTTCCATCACCCAGCAGGACAGGCTTCCTCTCCAGTCTGGGCAGCCCTTATCTGTGGCCCTGGGGCTCCCATGCCATGCCATGCCATGCCATCTTACCCCACCCCATTCCATCCCATCCCACCCCATCCCACCCAATCCCACCCCATCCCTGGTCATTGGAACTGGCAGGAACTGGTTTTTCCATTCCTGTGGAATTCCTTGACTTCTAGGCAAATCAAGGTGAATTTGGTAAAGTATTAAAAAATAAAAGCAAAATTATAGAAAGGAAAACAATAAAAAATGTTGGTTCCCTCACAAAATGAATCTAGGGAAAAAAAACTGAAGTTGACAAAAACATTTAATTGTTTACAGTGTTTTGAAGCTTTCTGTAAAAGAAAATAATTTATGTTTGCTTTGCACAATAGTTTTCTGGGAGAAATACCAGTGTTTTGTTTGCAGATTTTTCATTCAAAATAAACTGATGGACAGTTTCCAGCTGGCTGTGCTTTGTGGCCCCCATCCAAGCGCTCTGAGTGCATCCCAGGGCCAGGCCATGGGCTCCATGTGGGGAACTGAGGCACGGCCCAGCCACGGTCCTTGCCCCACCAGCCTGAACTTTTCCTCATTCTGCAGCTGGGGTTTCTCTGGCCAGCCTTTTACCCAGATATTTTGAGGCTCTGCAAGGTGCTCAGGGGTTTCTGCCAGCTATGGACATGTGTTTTGGGGGATTCAGGCTCCCTAGATGGCTTGCTGAACACCTTCTGTTGTGTATTGAGTGTCTCAGCCTTGTGCCCGGGGTTGCTCCAAGCGTGCCTCACCCCACAGCAATCTGCAGCATTGCATGAAAACCAAACCCCTCTGAGGCAGAGGTGCATTGCTGTTGTCTTGAAAAAGCTGGGCCATGTGCAACTGCTCCTGTTTTCCTTCTCTTTCCAGGAGGCCAAAGCGCTGCTGCGGCGCCACAGGCTGGAGTCGCACCTGCTGCAGGCGGCCGCGGCCGGGCTGGGATACGCCTACACGGAGCCGGTAAGGCCTGGCTGCGCTGTGCCGGGCCTCAGGAGCTCCCAGCCCCAGCACCAGCCCCTGCCCTGCTCCTGTAAATCCTCCCTGTGTGGGTGGCTCAGGAGCTGGGTCTTGGCCTGGTTTGTTCCCTGTAGAACACTGACGGCCAAGGAAGGAAGTCATTCCTGGGGTGAAGCAGAGGCACAGGCAGCCTCAGCCAGCTCTTGTGCCTTGGTGTCTGAGTCTCAGCCACTGCCGTGGTGATGGGGTGAGACACAGACGCCTGGGCAAGCTGGGCTTCCTGGGTGCTCATCGCACTGTGCCAGCTTGGGGTCACATTTTCAATCTGGTGGACTCAGGCCATTGCCCAGAGTTACGTGGGATGGAGCCAGAGAGGCTGGCTGATGTCCCTGGGAGTCAGGCAGAGCAGGTAACGCCCTGGCTTTGGCTGCAGCATTAAATTAAGGAGTTTGTCCTCTCTTTTCCCACAGAACTACTGGAACAGGTACGGTGCCCGCCAGGATGAGCACAGGTGAGCCACAGTCACCCCAGCTGAGCTGCAGCTCCACCACTCCCACGGTGGGATCAAGGGGGTGTGCTCATGGTGGGGTACCAGCCTGCCACTGAGGGGTACTGCCCACCCACCCAGCACACCATCCTTGTTGAATTAGGGCCCTTTGCCCCTTGCCACTGCAAACATTGCCACAAGAACCTTATTTTAGCTGAGTGCCTCAACACCAGCAATGGTTTAGAGGGAGCTTGATTGCTGAGACAAGTGGTGCTGGTCAGATTTGTTGGTGTCTGTGCTTTGCCAGTGGAAACTGTTGCTCACATTACCAGAAAAGCAATGTTTGCCACAGGGTGAGGGCTTCAACTTGTATGGCTGTGACATTTGTACAAAGTACTGATTTGCTTGGGCTTTTTGTGTATTAGTTTCCAAAGGGAGCAAAAGTTCAAGCTGAAGAACTTGTGGTCAAAGTCATGATGTTCCTCTTCTCTTTTGCTCCTCAGTGTCCCATCAAGTATCAGCAGTGAACCAGAGGATGGGCCCCGGCTGTCCCTGACAAAGAAACCCATGCCAAAGCCAGAACGAGAGCTGAAGGAGGGTAGGGCTGATAAACATGTCTCATCAAAACTGGGATTTTTTTTTCCTATTGCTAGAGACTACAGATTGCAAAGGCTGGCCACTGAGCAATGAGGGCCACTACTATGTGAGAGAGTTCAAATTTTGTTTAAGAGACAAGTCTTCAGCGTGCCACAGCATTTCTGGGTCTGTGGATCCCAGGGCACTCCTGTGCCCTTGGACCTGTTTTTCCCACCTGCTGGGCTACTCAGTACAGAGCCCTGAGATGTGGAGCTGGGAGGCTGGGTCTTCCTCACCGTGGGGAAAGCAAACCAGCAAACAGGAGTCTTCTGTGCAGGTGCTTTTTAAGATCAGTGTGTTGTCCAGGCTGCAGAAGGATGGATGCTGGAAGCAGCCTGTCCTGATGCTTTGCTAAATGTGCTGGATCACACCATATTAGCAACCACTTCTCTTCACAGACTAAGCTTATGACTTTGTGTCTTAGCTCACATGAAATCACTTGTTTATAAGCCTGTCAGCAGACGTTTCAACTGATTTCAGCACATTTTCAGCAACCACAGAAAACACCATAACATTTTCTACTAAAGACAGGATTTTTCCCCTTAACAATTTTGAAAAACAATATTGTAGCCAAGCACCAAAGCAGTCCTTGCTGCAAAACAACAGGGTCTCAAGCCAGGAGGTGTCTTGTGTCTCTAGTGAGCCAGCTCCACAGCAGCAGGCAATTAAACCTCCCTGTAATGCAACGGGTGGTAGCTCTTTTTGGGGAATTTCACAGCTTTCCCCAGCCCAAGTTGTGTCCAGCTGCTCAGTGTTTGTTCAGAGTGTTGTTATCCCTTCTCTAGCTGTACATAAAATAGGCAAATACCACAGGAAGATACCAAAGATCTTGCTTAAGCCAAGAGCTTGGTTGAATTGTAGTTACTGGCCTGTTTGCTGTTTATAACCAAGTAATTCCAGAGTCCTTCTTTCTGTTTTATGCTTTTATTCTAGTTTACTTAGAATGTTTTTGTTTACAAAGAAAACTGAAACCATCAAAAAGAAACTGGGATTTTTTTCCATCTAACTGCTGCCTTTCTCAGTTTCTTTTTTTCTCTTTCTCTTTTTACTTGGAAAAAGAAAAGGCCGAAAGAGAAAAGTCTATTTTATTTTTATACTCTTCTGTACTTCTGTCCTTCCCCCCTTCCTCATTTCTGCCAATTCCTTCACTCCCAAAAGGCCAAAGAATTCCTCAGTTTCTTTGGGGTGTTTTTTTCACAGAGCACAGACACGGGTCTGTCTCTCTGCTGGTGCTTAGAGCAGGCAGAGGCACGGAAAGCAGGTGGGAGCACACTGTCAGTGTGGGGCAAGGGTTCAGTGTCCATGGCACAGAGCTGCCCCACCAGTTCCCTGGGAGGAACAAGAAGAAATGTTGGAAGTGTTGAGGGATGCCTTCCATGTTCATCCTTCATGTACTAATGGCTGGGGAAGAGCAACAGCTGAGCTGGAAAACTCAGCCCTGTGTCAGAGCACGCCAGGAGTTTGGATTTGAGACTTCTGATTCCTATCCAGCTGCATTTGCAATAAGTGTGGTTATCAAACACAAAATTAGCACAGTGAACACCAGAAACATTCCATATTTTCCATTTGCAAGAAACCTAACTCTTTAGAAATAAAGCTGTGAGCTAATGACAGGGCTTGTGGGGCTTATGTGTCCTCCATAGGCCAAGGAGACCTGCCAAGAGCACAGTTTTGACTCAATAGACAGGAAAAGTAAAAGTTACAAAAGCATTGTCACAGAGAAGTTTCCTTGTGCCACATGGTGGGAAGAACTCTGCAGCTCTGTTTCCTCTGTTTCCTTGCTTGTCTCTGACAAAAAATAATTTTCTTCACAGTTAGATGTATTACATTTTTCTCCTGGGGAAACATCTGGTTTAGGCTTTTATTGTTACCATTTCTTTTCTTTCTTTGAGGAGATGCATGAAAGAGGCTTCAAAAGATGGTGGTTTAGGGACCTTGCTCTGGTTGTTTGATCAGTCAAATTTGATGGGGTGGATTGAAACCTCTGGTAAAAAGCTTGCAGGCAGAGGGAGGCAGCTCAGAGGCAGGATGTGAGGGATGGCAGGGACAGCCATGGCAGCTCCTCTGCCTCAGTGGAGGAGGATTAGCCTTAGAGTTCTCTGGCTCACCCACTCCCTGCCCTCCTTCTTGGAGGAGATCAATGCTTGCTGCAAGCTCAGCACCATGTGAGGTTTTCTCTGTGTATATCAGACAAAAAACACTGATGACAGTTGCAGAGGGTGGCTTTGCATGCCAAGCCAGCAGCATCCACAGAGCACAAATGCAATGGGAACCTACACTGGTGTTGACAGCTGGGCTGTCAAGTTAGCCACTGTCCCTGTCTCTCCCTGTGTCCCACTGGGGTTTGGTGTTTCCAGGCTGTGGTCCCTGCACTTGCAAGGCAGCAGTTGAGAAGGTAGAAGATGCTGATGCTCCTGCAGAAAATTGATTTCCTCTCCTTGTGTTCCCATTGCTTCTGTTTCTTTTGTTACTGATGGGAGGCCACACTCTGCTCTCTGCTGTGGAGCTCTTGGCCTGTCAGCACACCTGGGTGACTTCAGCCAGCCTCCAGCCACTGTACAAGATGTGAAGAAGGCCAGGGCATGTTCAGCAGGATGGTTTTGTGTCTCTCCTTAGGGGGCCCTCTTCTCTACAGTGACGTGAAGTTTGTCTACAACTCTCAGCAGCTGAATGGCACCCAGCGAGTGCTGCTGGATAACGTCATCTCGGAGGAGCAGTGCCGGGAGCTGCACAGGGTGGCCAGCGTGAGTGGCAATGTCCCTGGGCTGAGTGACAGCTGAATGTGTGATCAGCCTCTGGGGACCATGGGTTCATGCCTTGCTGAGTGTTACAGCTGATGGCAGGATGCCTGTGGAGAGCAGGTGGATGCTTGTCCCTACTGCACACCCATAGCTGCAGCACGGGAGCTGCTGCTCCATCCTGGGCTGCGGGAGCCTGTGCAGAAAGGGCTCTTTCCCCATGTTATAACAACCCCAAAGGAGCCTTCTCATTCACCATTTACTGAGCTTGGAAGGGACTGAGGGTGCCTGAACATCCCCAGTTAGGGGGTGGGTGGTTGATATCCTGTGCTCACAGAGAGCTGCAGCACCTTTCCACCCCAACTCACCTGGCCCAGTGAATGAAGCCCGGGGGGATTTGGTAAGAGAGTGCCATGTATGTACATTGCAGATCCCTCTCTCCTGACAAACCAGTTCACCCCTCATCTGTCTTCATGTTTTCCAGGGGATCATGTTGGCTGGAGATGGTTACAGGGGCAAAACCTCCCCGCACACCCCGAATGAGAGATTTGAAGGAGCCACTGTCCTCAAAGCCCTCAAGGTACAGCTCCCTCCTCCTTTTCCCCCTCTCCTGCGGCCTCCCTCCCAGTCTGCAGGTGACACTGACCTCCCTTTGCCCCTCTCCTTGCCCAGTATGGCTACGAGGGCCGTGTCCCGCTGCGGAGTGCCCGGCTGTTCTACGACATCAGCGAGAAGGCGCGCAGGATCGTCGAGTCCTACTTCCTGCTCAACTCCACGCTCTACTTCTCCTACACCCACCTGGTGTGCCGCACCGCGCTCTCCGGTGAGAGTCGGGGTGGCAGAGGAGGGAGCGAGGGAGGGGTTCAGCTCTCCATGGGGGTTTATGAGCTCAGAGTAGCTCTGTTTTGCTTAATGCTTAAATTGATGGCCAAGGGCTGGGCAAAGTCAGCATCCCACAGCAGCAAAAAGTGGGCACTGCTGTCCCCAGAAAAGTAATTTGTGGGATGTCTCTTGGTTTTCATATCTACAACTCTTCCTATTTTCTCCTCCCTTTTCTCTTGCCTCCTCTTGTCTGTCCCTTCTCCTTTCCACTCCAGCCCCAGCCCTCCATCTCACTTCCCTGCAGAGCTGTGCAGATCTTGCCTTTTCTCCCCAGCCATTAGGATGTTGCCTTTCCTCCCCACCCATTCCTTTCCTCTTCTCACCTGTGAACACCACCTGGCGTGGGGTCAGGGTAGTCTCCCACCCCATGATGGGATCCCACAGAGCATAGCATTTCCATCTCATCCATCTCTTCTCCTTCCCCCTTCCTCCACATGGTCCTGCCTAGGCCAGCAGGAGCGCAGGAATGATCTGAGCCATCCCATCCATGCTGACAACTGCCTCTTGGACCCCGAAGCCAACGAGTGCTGGAAGGAGCCTCCTGCCTACACCTTTCGGGACTACAGGTAGGAAGGAAGGGAAGGAATCTCTCTAGGGACTTCTCTCCCTCTGTCTGTCCCCCACCCATGTCCTAGTGGAGCAATGTGGGATCTGTCCAGGAGGTGGGGGTCAGCCTTGAGACCTCCCCAGTGCTCCCCTAACTGGGGTTTCCCCCTTCCTTCCCCAGTGCCCTCCTGTACATGAACGCAGATTTTGAAGGTGGCGAGTTCATTTTCACCGAGATGGACGCCAAAACTGTGACAGTGAGTTGGTGCTGTGGGCCAAAAGTGTTCCTCAGCAGTCCATTCTCAGGGCTCTGGGCTTCCCTGGGCAGCCTATGGCTCCTACCTTGCAAACAGCCATAAAAATCCTGCTGCAGAGGTGCACAGACCATGTGCTCCCTCCCTAGAGGCCGTGCCAAGCAGTAAACCTGTGGATTAGGAGTTCTCCCCACCCCCAGTGCAGGCAGATGGATGGCTGGTAGTTGTCCCTGGCCTGGAGGACTGCTGAGCTTCCACCCCATCTTGTGGTCAAACATGAACTGGTGTCTCCATCAACAGATGCAAGTCTCTTGTTCCAGAGTGGGTCACAGTGATGGACATCAGACCCTGAGAGGGATGTGGCTTAGGCATGAGCCCTCACCTCTGTTTGGGGCCATTAAGGAAGCTGTGCACCCACTCTGTGGTTGGACAGAGGTCTGGGCACCCTGCTGGGGTCTCTGGAAAAGCTGGAGTGTAGATTGTGTCTGCTTAAGTGCCTGAGGGTTGGTTTGGTTGGAAATTCTGTTCCCAAGGTCCTGGAGGACACTTGTCAACTCTGCCAAGAGAAGAAAGAAAGAGGTTTCACAGCCATGCCAGGCTTACACTGGACCTCCCTGGAGGTCCCTCATGGGCCCATTATGCCATGGCCCCATTTTGCTCTAGGTAGTGACCTGGAGGCTTTGCAGAGACTCCATGCCATTATGTCCTTTCTGCATGATGTCTGCACAGCAGGAGCAAGCTTCACACCTCCCTGTTTACCCCACACGTTTTGGCAGTTGTGCCCATAGCTCTACATGCCCGCCCCGAGCAGCTCATCAGGTCCTGGGGTGATGCAGAGGGATGCCCAGTGAGGTCCCAAGCCCTGGAGCATGGTGAGCAGTCCCTTGCCAGCCTGGCTGTGCTGTTTCCCTGCAGGCCTCCATCAAGCCCAAGTGTGGGAGGATGATCAGCTTCTCATCGGGTGGCGAGAACCCCCATGGGGTGAAGGCGGTCACCAAAGGCCAGCGCTGCGCTGTGGCTCTCTGGTTCACCTTGGACCCTCTGTACAGAGAGCTGGTGAGTCCCTCCATCGTGATGTCAGGGGAGCTGGGGCATACCCAGCGTCCCACAGCAACCAGGACCATCTTATTTTCTGCAGTCTCAGTACGTCTGTTTTCCCCCCATTACAGCCCCCACAGCAGCACTGCCACGATATGAGCTGGTGGCCCCAGGGCAGGTTTTTCCTGCCAGTCTTGGTCCTAGTCACCCTGGGCCAGTGGGGTGCAGTGCTGGGCTGGGATGCTGAGTGGGGCGTGGAAGGGCTCCGTGCAGGGCTGGGCTGGCCATTTCTGACACCTAGTGGCAGCAGCCTGATGGATGGGAACTCCTCCAGAGCAGCTCAGAGTGCTGTGTGAGTCCTGCTGCTAAGTCCTCTCACAGGCATTTTGGCAACTTGAAGTCCATGGCTCTGGGCACCTAAGATGCCTTGGAAGATCTGGGCTGTGATGCCTTTCACCAGGCACCCTCCACATTATGATTTAAAAAGCTGATGTACCAGCCCCTGCCTCCCTTTGGTAGCAATTCTGCTTTGTAAAAATAAAAGATACAAGACCGAGCAAAACTAAATGCAGGGAGAATGCAAAACCCTCATTCCCTTGCCTTGTGATGGAGGTGGGCTGCAAGGTTTGGGGAAAAGCTTATTTTCAGACATGCAATTCAGTGTCTCTCAGTCTTTTTGCACTAGCAGAAATTCCTCCAGGCTTGGTGCCTGTATGGTAGGAGATCATCCCTGCCTGGGGAGCTGGAAATCAACAACAAGCAGAGGGGACAGGAGGAGGGTGTGCCGTGGCAGTGGCTGCTTGTGGAGCGTGGTAAGGGAACTACAGAACATCAGCTCTGCCCCAGCCACTGCAGCCCTGCAGGGAGGAGGGAATCAGGCATTGAGGTGGAAAGGGATTTGATTAATTTTGTCCAGCAAATCCCCAGCTTGAGTCCCAGGATCTCCCCATCCTCACACCTACCCTGCTGGTTCTGGGGTAACATCCTTGCTGTGTGTCCTCCCAGCAGCCTGAGCCTCACTGAATTAGCTGGAGCAGGCACTGAAGCTCTGCTGTTACCATTTCTTCCCTTCCCCTCTTGCAGGAACGAATCCAGGCAGATGAAGTGATTGCAATGTTGGACCAGGAGCATCTAGGACCCAGTGAAATGAACATCAACCCAAAGGATGAGCTATGAACTAGGCCAAAGACTTTTTCTATTAAATATTTATTTAATATTGTTAATCTTATTAGAACCCTTCTATTTTTGTACAGAGATGCTGTATAAATTAACAGGTTAATATGAATGTGGAGTTTCAGGAATGCCTCTTCTGTGTTTAGCACAGCTTTTGCTGGAACCCTCATCCCTGTGCCAGCATCTCCTGTTGGGGCTGCCTCTGCTTCCAGCATTCCCTTTTTCTCTATAACTTCTCAGGACTCCTTCAGGCCCACTCTACCCCCTTGGAGAACCTGTTTTGTTTTTTGTTTTTTTTTTTTTTTTTTTTTTTTTTTCTTTCTCGGCCAAAAGTAGCTGCTTCTCTTTAGCATCTGCTGGAGAAAAGTCTCAGGTGTCCTAAGGCACCAGTCTTTCTGCTCCTGCTTCCTGCTGAGGGAAACTGGAGCACAAAAACTGGTGCTATGACTGTCTCTCACCACTTGAAAAATGCCTTTTAGGGAAAAAAAAAACAACAAAAAAACAAAGGAAAACCCAAGTCCTAGCAAAGTGGAGATTTCTCTGTAGCCACGTGAAGCTGGTGTTTGGGTATGAATTCTGAGCAGAGCTTCTGGAAATCAGCTGCTGAGCAGGGGCATGAGCTGTGCACAGGCAAGAGGGAATGTGATTTGCAGCTGACTCTGGTGAAATAGGGTCTGTCACTCATGTTCAGTCCCTCCTCTTGCTGATGGCCTGGGAACATGAAGGATGCTGCTTCATGCATCCTTTGAGCTTCCAGCCCAGTCTGCTGCTGGTAGAACCCAAGGTTTGTAGTCATAATTTCTGGGTCCCTGCTGGAAAGCAGCTTAGGAAGTTACAGTGCCATGGTGTTGGATGGTCATGGTGTAGCTCTGCGCTCTGGATGTCCTGGCTGCATCCTCCCATCCTGGCAGTGCAGAAGCAGCAGATGTTCATGGTCTGCTATTATCTATTTGCTCAGAGTATTTCTGACCCAGCCTGAGGATGTTGCAGTGAAAGCAAGTAGTCAAGTGACTGCTGCTAAGCCAGTAAATCATTCCTCCCCAACCATTAAATTTAGTCCTGTGTGTGGGATCAGAGCAACCCCTATCTCAGTCAGAATAGGCACTGAGTCACAGGATTTCTGCCCCAGACATAAGGGCAACTTTTATTTTGACCCAACAGCTGCTTCGGCTGCTGGAATGCAGTTCCTAAAAGGTTTCAGCAGTCTTCACTTGAAATTACTGCAAGGCTGCAGTCTATCAGAAAACACTATGAACTTTTTCTGGAGTTCACATCCTTGAGCTGCTTTGGCTCTTTTATAAATCCTTTTCTGCTCCCCTCTGCCAGTTTTGGCATTCTCAGAACTTAAAATCTGCAATAGAGAATTGTCTTTCCTCTTTGCTCCTGTAGCTTGTGCCTGTTCCCAGACTCAGAAGCCTCCTCTTCCCATCCAGTCACTGCAAAGGCTGTAGACAATGAGTGTCCTTCTATAGAGACTTCCTCAAAAGCTGGTCCTGGGCAAGATAGAGGAGAACTCTGCATCTGGAAAAATAAATGCCTAGACTGTGAAGAGGGAGCTATTACCACCCAGAAAATGCTGGAAGAGTTATTTGCTGCATCTCCTCCAATGCTGCATCTGCAGAGGAAAAGGCTCTGGGCGTTCTTCTTAAGCTACCATCATTGCTTATTCCTTTGTTGTTATCTCCCTTCCTCACACAGTGTTGAAAAGATTCATCAAGTGGGCTCCCCAGAGAACTGCCCACAGGTTTCTGCCTTTGAAGAGCCTTCCCTGCTTAAGTGCCTCTTAAGTAAATACTTAACTCCATCCCCCTTTTCAAAACAGCCAGAGGAGAAGCTAGGGAGAAGAAGGAGAGGGCAGCTGTTCACTTTGGAGAGCTGACCCCCATTTCACTGTCCCTCCACGTGCACCATGCTGCTGTGTCCAAGGCTCGACTCTGAATGCTGCACCTTCCATGTGGGCCTGTGCTGCCATCCCCCAAGGATCATTCCCAAGTGCATCCTGCAGAGCTGCCCCTCGCTGCAGCCCCAGCCCTCCCAGGGACCCCCCAGCTGGTTCTGCTGCAGGGAGGTGCAGGGGCTGGCACAGGTCATGGGTGGTTTGTTGCTGTGGTGGGTAGCCAGAGCTGTGTCTAAATCCAGGGAAAATAAACTGAACACATCTGGGCCTGTCTTTGTCTTTGTTCAGTCGTATATTAGAAGGAGAGACTGAGGAATTTGGGGTCTGCTTCATGATGGTCCCTGTGCCTTTGGGTTTCCTGCCTTAGAGCTGAGCACAGCCCCCTCTCCATGCTGGAGGAGCATGGACTGTGTGTGTGCTTTTGGCTGCCTGTCCATCTGCCTTGCTGTGTGTCCAGCTGTGCAGTAGCTCCCACACCATGGCCATGCTCCCTGCAGGAGCAGGAGGGAGTGAGCAGAGCACAGCTCCCTGTGCACTGTGGGTGCTCAGGGCCACAGCCACCTCGGCTGGAGCAGCTCTGCTGCAGAGCCACGGAGCAGCCTCGTGGGATGCATCACTGCAGGACTCGCTGCAAACGTGCCCCAAGAAGGGAGAAGACTCTGGGCTGCCTGGGCCATGCCTTTCACTGTGCTGCTCTGCCAGGGAGACCTGCTGGCAGCCTGGGCCATGCTGAAGCCAGGAAACGTGGGAATGCAGTGAGTCAAAGGCACTTTCCCTGTTTGTTTGTTTGTTTTTCCAGCTCTCTGCTCTGGCAAAGTCTGGCTCAGAAGTGGATTTGTATTTCTGCTGCAACAGCAGAGGTAGGTGCCAAGTTTATTGGCACTCTGTAGCCTCACAGGAGCAAGTTGCAGAACTTTTTGGGGTTTGCATCAAAATGCAACATAGGTTTTGTTGTATCCAAGTGGGATGGGTTGCCACCAAGGTGGCTTGGACTGAGAATTGATTTTAACTCTTGGATTTGATGTAGGGGCCTGGCATCTGCCAGAGTTGTCAGGGTCACATCCAGAGTGCCTGCAGGGCACCTGCATCCCTGCTAAAAGAAAATTGACAACAATACTGAATGTATACACTCCTCCTTGGTCAAATATGCCCCAGGGACAGCCTGGTGCACTTATATTTTTGTTTCCTCCTACTTCAGTTCATGCTGTTACTCCTCTCCTGACCTGCCAGTCTGGTAATTGCTGCTTCCTAAAGCCCCATCATGCAGCAGCTCCCCAGGGAGGCAGTGCCTGCAGTGACAGCACTGAGCTCAAAACTGATGTGCATTTCAGAGCACACCCAGGCCAGCTCCAAGGCTTGCCCACCAAAGGGAAGCACAACCCACTTGTGTGTTGGCCATGTGTTGTACATTCCCCAGTTCTATCACCAGCAACAGGAGCCTTTTGGAGATGGAGGTGGTTGAACCATGCCTTAGTTCATTGTTCACTCAGCTGTGCCCTCCCTAATAATAATATATGTAGAGTGGGATTAGCAGGGTTGATTTATGACAGCCATTGAGGAAAAAGCCAACCTACCTGTAAAGGAAACATAATGGAATTTAAAAGTATTTAAAACAACAACTGAGGCGGTTCTGTGTGTGTGTGCATGTGTGTGTTTGGGTGGGGATGTGGTTTTGAAAGTGAAGCCTGCATGCTGTTAATCCATGCCAGGGGACCTTTACTCCCAAGGAGATTTGTTTTGCTTTCATGTCCAAGAGGGCCCAAGCCAAGTTCCCTCACCCCTTGCACAAAGCTGCTGCAGGCTGTGGGGCCACTGGGGCAGCCTGCTGTGTGCCACAGGCACGTCTCAGCACAGGGAAGGCTATCCTATTGCAGGACAATACAGATGATATGATGCCTTCATTAAGGACAAGAGTGCACTTTGCACTCCGGGATGCAGCAACAGAGTGTGAAGAGCCCGTGGCAGCAAAAGCACCAAGGTGTGGGGAGCAGTGGCTATCAGGAGCACCTGGTGGCTCATACAGAGGGTAGGAGCATGAAAAACACCTTGTGTAAGTAAACAACCTCCAAGAAAGGCCAGCAGAAAGCCTAAGGCTGAGTCCCTTTGGGCTGTAAATGCCTTACTCCAAGTGGCTGCTGAAAGCTTCTCTCCAGCCAAAAGCTTACCCCTGAAACCTCACCTGAAAATAAGACTTGTGGCTACTAAAAAATTTCTGAATCTATAATCAAGGCTGAAATACCTAAAGCTCTTCATGTTTAGTGGCTACAGTCTAAAGGAACCTGGACATTCTGTAGGCATTAGCCTGAGAGACTTTGTGAGGCATCAATTTAAAGCAACTGATCCTTGCCAAAGTTCTTGTGGAGGCTTAGGGCCATGTGGACAGTCAGTCTCCCACAGCTCCACTGGATGATGACCAATCCCCATTGTGTCCAAGCTAGGCTATGGTAAAGTTATAAAATATTATGTATTTAGTCTTTTTGTATGTCTTCTTTATTTCCCTGGCTCTAGACTGATACTCCCAAAATACAGCAGCTCTGATTGCCCTGTGAGACCCACTGAAAAGGTTGTTTCCTCCTGTCCACACCCTTGCCCAGCCTGAGGGGAAAAAAAGAACAAAACAGCTTGCAGTGAGATAAAAATGGGCTAGTCCTGCTTTGGGGAAGAATTATATAAAAAGAGGAAAGAAGTATGTATGTCTTTTGTTTCCACAACTGCTCCTTATGTCTACACCCCACCGTAAGAGCCACCTTTTCCTGGGGGAGGTGTTCCTGCTTGTCTGTGCATTCCCTGCCTTCCCTTTGGGCCTGGGGCTCCACGTGGACAGGTCCCACAGATGTCACTGAGAGCAGCAGAGCTCCCCAGTATCCCCCGGGAGCCCAGCGTGTGTGGGCCACCTGACCATCCCCCCGGTGGAAACTGCTGTCTCCACAGGTCTAGAGGATACCATGGCCAGCCCAGAATTGCTTTTATCTTGTTTTAAACACATGGTGAAAGGTGGCACTGGGTTTGTTCCCTTCTCATTTAGAAAAACTTTTGTTATGCAGAAAAAAAAAATCATAAATGTCAGCAGGTCCCAACCACCTGGCCAGCATCCAACCCCACCAAAAATAACTGCAGCACACTAGAGAAACTTGAGAAAGCTAAACAGGTGACTCAGAGAGCTGCCTGGCCACCCTCACCTTGTTTCTGGTTGAAAGCACCCTGAATTTCAGGGGAGAGGGTCCAGCTGTGGTCTGGGGGCTGTGGCGGCACAGCACAAGTGCAGGAGCTGCAGTGGGTGGGAGCTGTGCTGGGGCTGTGCTGGGAGAGGCACTCTGGGGGCTCTGTGGGCAAACAGAGCAGGCTGGTGAGCAGACACACTTGGCAAAGGGGCAAGTCAGCTAATGATTGTTTCCAGGGATGGTCTGGATAATGAGGATGGCAATTCTAGTAGGTATTTCCTGAAGCTGAGCAGGGCAGGGCAGGGGGAATTTATATGAGCCCAGTTTAGCTTTTACTCCTCCTTTATTTGTAATGAGATTAGCAGCAGAGATGGCAGGGCACCCTTTCCTGCTGCCCTGATGGGGTGAGCTGATAAGCGCCTCCTGCCTGGCCTTGCATGCCAGCCCAGCAGCTGGGCCACAGGGGGAAAACCACCAGGGAAAATCACCCTTCCATCACACAGGGCCTTTTTGCAATGGTCCTAAGCTGAGGGGTAAAATGCTGCATAGGACTGGCCAGCCTGATCCTGGCAGTGCCAGGAGTGGTGCTGGCATCCCTGGGCAGTGTCACATCCCCTCCTTGCAGTGCTGCTGCACCCCATGTCAGCTGAAAGCATCAGGTTAAAGGCTTGTCCCCGCCTTACTGCTGAGATACGAGGCTCCCACTTGGCCACCAGTGTGCCCTGGGCAGCTCCAGCACAGGAAAGGAGAGTGGTTGATTTGACTGCATTGTGGCAGGAGCTGTGAAGAAGAGTGACTGCCCTGCAGAGCATCTCCCAGCTGCTCACAGTGCTGTCACTGGACTGTAGCAAAGGTGGAGAAGAAGCTGTCTTATCATTTCCCCCACCCCACCCTCAGAGGAGAATACAGATCCCATGACAAATTTTGAAACAAATCTTCATAGTGCCCATGACAAGGCCTGTTCATGGCAAACCCAGATCCACCTCTGAGTGTGCATAGCCCTAAGCAGGGGAATTTTGTCTGTAAAACCACTGAAACCCCCCCACCTGTATTTTAAGGACTCGTATTAGTTACAACAACCAAACACGTGTGGGCCAAGTAGCCCATCTGGGGCAGAAGCTCCAGCTGCTGTGGGGCACCTTGGCACCTGGGTTGTCCTTGCAGGGCTCCCTGCCACCACTGGGCACATCTGAGGTGATGGCTGGGCCTGGTGTCCCCTTCCCCATGTTGTCACTGGCTGCATTGCCCCAAGCTGGGATGTCCATGAAAATCATCTGTGGTGACGTGCATTTCTCACTCAGCCCTTTTCAAATCAACCTGTCCCATAGCCCAGGGGTGACCAAACTGCTGTAGGGGGCATTTTCCCAGTCATGTGGTGATTGTGGGGAGCTGCTCCCACCACCACCACACAGGAAAAAACAACCCACCAGCATCTTAAAACCAGTTTGCAGCCCTCAGGCACCTGGGGGTTGTTTGTTCAGCTCCTTTCATTTCAACAGCTCATGTGAGAGGTTGGGAGCTGGCATTCGCTGCTCCTGTGGTGCCAACTCTGAGATTGTTTTATTTGATTTGCCAACCAAAATGGGTGGAAGGGTGGAGACTGTATTTTCCCCTTTATTTTTGTCTTTAAAAAACCCTTCTGGCCCTGGGTGAGGCAGAAGAAGCTGAGGAGTTTCACGTCTATCTACTCTGTGACAGTTACCTGCCTACAGCACAGCCTGGCTCCTCCAAGCAGAACTGGGTGTGGGTGGATGGCCTCCCTGTCTAGGTGGGGAGAGCTCTCAACCACTTCCCACAGCATTTTTCTCCCCACCAAGCACACTGGAGAAGGCTGTCGTGAGAGCCCCTCCTTCCTTCCTCTGGCCAGCGGATCAAAGGAAAAATGAAGTCAGCCCTGGGAGAGGATGGGGCAGGCTGTGAGCTCCTCAGCAGCAGTGGGGTGATCACTGCTCTCATTCTGCACAGCTCAGGGAAGGGGTTTGTCCCTGAAGTGCCCAGGGAAAGCCCTGAGCCATGCGTGGTTGACACCCTGAGGTGCTCTGAGCAAACACAGAATAGCCATCCCCACCCCAAACTGTGTCCCAGACAGTGACTCTCAGGGATGG